AAAAATAGAATCAGTTAAATCAAGAAGAGTTTCAATAAATAAAGTATTACTAGAACTATTTGTTACAATTGAAAGATTATGTGAAACAAAATTAATATCTTCTTCAGTTGAATCTTGTGAATTCTCTAAAGTAGAAAATACAGTTTGTTCTAATGCACTTTGAAAAAGATCTTTCAATGATAATTTCTTATTATAATATTGTAATTCTTTAGTAATATTAGAAAGATACCAAGAATGAATTTTTGCCATTGCTTCTAATTTTAAGGTATTTAAACGAGTTCTGTTATCTTTGCAAAACTATTTGAGAATGGAAAAATTTCATTCACAAAAAGCTTGAGAAGGAGTAATTGAAAAAATTATTTTAGCAACTGTTTGTAAATGAGGATAATTATCATCAATGACATTTCACCACATTATTGACATCTGAAAAATGTCTTCATAGGGAAAATCAAATGGTGGATCTTTAGTCTTATATTGACAAAGCTGGCTCATTAATTCTTTGTATTTGATTTTATCATGAAATTGTTGAGAATATATTTTGAGACAAAGTTTGCAAAGTTCAATGAATTTTCCCATTTTTAAGCCACAATCATAATATAAGAATGAAGATAATATGTCAAAGTATAAATATCTATATCAAATTCAATATATCAATTATTAAATATTTCAATAGCTGGTATTTTTATAGGATTGCTAGAAGGAATTCTCTTGATTGTTGTAGCTAACTTGGCTAATCCAATGAAACAGTCAGCAAAATTAGCTGTTTTTGATTCTAAAGAATCAATTGTCTCTTTAATTGGACGAAAAATAGTGGCAATTTGATGGTAAGTACTGAAAAAAGTGTCTTCATCATCTTTTAATAAGTGTAAAACTGTTTTATTTGTAATTATATTTTGATTTTCTTCTAAAATTTTATCAAAAATTGGTTTGATATGTACAAGAGAATTGGTTGTATTAAAAGCTGATGTCCATCTGATTTTTACAAAGATTTCCAAATTTTCACTATGAATATTGCTATTTTTGATTTCTTTCATAATAAATAATCAGCAGTATGAGAGATTTTAAAAAAGCTAATTATAATACTAGTATTGGTCAATATTTTTTTGATAAGTTCTAATTTAATCAAATTAATTGAAATTAAGTTTAGAGCATGGGCAATGTAACGAATATTCATAATTTGTGGATAAGTTTTATGTATAATTTGTCGTGCAACTCAGATATTTCCATCATTGTCTGTAACTAAAGTGATTACTTTTGATGAACCAATTTTTTTAATAATCGTACTTATTTTGTTTGCCATATAAATGCCAGTTTGAAAATCTGTCGAGTAATCTTCAATGGCGACCAGATATTCTTTTCATTCAGATGTTGCTACAATATAATTGTATAATGAATCGTTTGTTGGTGTTGACCAATCATTCAATGTCAAAGTTAAGTTTTGTTAATTTGTAAGTGCTTTTGTAATTTTAACTGTTACTAATGCATGTTTTTCATCTAAAAGTCATTCAGAAAGAGTATGTCGATGTGGTGGTTCATAACCAGGCTCCAAAATTCTTAAAAGATTGATAAAAAAGGGTTATCAATAATTTCTCATGGAATTCCACAACAAACGAAGGTCTTAATTAAAGCACAATCAATAGTTTTTTTATGATCTTCATTAATAGCCCTGTAAAAAAAATAAAAAACTAAAATCAGGAAAAAATCTGGTTTTTTAGTTCCGGAAAATCATGGGTTTTGTTAACAAATTTCCGGATTAAAATTTGATAAAAAACTACTTAAAAATGAAAAAAACGGGGAAAATAAAAAAATATCCGGAAACTTTGGGACGCGATATCTCGCGAACCACAGAATCAATCCGGACGAAAATACCACTATTCGATTCGTCTAGTCTTGACGAATCGAATGGTGATATTTTCGTCCGGATTGGTTTCGTGATTCGCGAGATATCGCGTCCCAAAGTTACCAGATCAATTTTTTTATTTTCCCCGTTTTTTTAAAAATGGATTAATATCTTATCACTCACTTAATCAAATTGGATAAAAATAAAG